TAGTAGCTTAGTGCAATTGCTAAACGTTTCAAACTGCCATCAGTTTTATATTATTCCCAGAGGCACAGACACTCTTTGTCAAGATTACAAATTATGCATAGATTATAATATGATATTTGTATAACAATATCCAGCTCATATTATTTAAAATGTTATTATGTATCTGAAAAACTAGCAGATAGCATTTACTGATTTGATAAATTACCACGTTAGTAATGTACTCCTTTACTAACTGGCAGAAGCTGCACTTCAGAGACTTTACAGGTGCAGGGTCAAATTAATAGGAGTAAAGCCTGTTATCTGCTCAAAGGGCTCTTTACAATTAACAAGAAGTGTGGTTTGCTACTTTAGCAAGATGAATTTTTTTTTAGAAGAGGATAGTGGAAACATGTACCAAATTTAAGTAACTTACTAACACAGTAAAATTGGCTGACAGTTGATGAGTTGATAAGAATTGGTGAAAAGGAATATAAATAAGAGTCCAGCAGTGTTAGCAGCAGGTAAGAGTACATATACTGGGGTTCTCCCCCCTCTGCTGGGGGGGGTGTTAAGAATTTATTTTGTAAATCTGTGCCAATGTGATTTTTTTTTGCTTGTGCTTTGAATTATCAAGTTTAGTAATGCTATTGTTATTTATTAAAAAGAGAGTTATTAATTTTAAAAATTATCTCGCCTTTCTTAACTAAGTCTCCATTTATCTATTTCTGATATAATGTACTTGAGTTTGTAAATATAAATTTTGCAAATAATAACTCACACACATTTTCTAGGAAGTGTTTGTAAAAGAAAAAAGAAAAATCAGATTTTGGGGGGAATCCATTTGCTTGGGGAAAACAGCTTAATAAGGTGTAACATTTCATTCTGGTTCATTCTTGAGTTAACCCTTTATTGAAAAGTGCCAGCTGTGAAGAACACAGGCTTCTGATTTTCTACCTGGAAGTTAGCTTTGTAGGACTCTAAGGCAAGTCTAAAGTGTCAGGCCTTCTGACCTGACATAGTCATCTGAAGAATCGTGCTTGGACACATGAAAGCTTATGGAGAATAAAACTAGTAGTCTTATACTTCGGGTATAAGACTACTACATGACTTCTGATTTCTCTTTTCTACAATGGACTAACATGCTACCTGCTAGGTTCCTTTTTCCTTTGAAAGGGTTTCAACAATTGAATTACTGCTACAATGAAAGCCATGTCTCATGCATTTAACAAACTGGCCTCCTGTGGTGGTGGGACATGTAATATTCAGTGGGGACAGTGTTACAAGTTCCAATTGGGCTCATATGCTCATATGTCCAGTTGGGGACAAGGAACATTTTCTGGCATGGTGGTCACAAGCTGTTTATGGCTTTGTAGGTGGAATCCAGTTGCTTTAATTAACCTCTGACACAAATTGCAGGCCAGTTGATCAGTCAGTAATATAAATAGTGTTTTTTATCCAAAAATCCCTTTTGCCAGTGAAAAGGTTATTCCACTCTCACAAGAGAAGGTATAATTCCTACCACCACTAACTTATTAGCATCCCACCACATCATATTCCACACTGTCCTCCAAAGGCCTCTCCCCTCAGGAAGGATTGCATTTCCAGGGGATGTGAGGAACTGCAGTGTTGAGAAGGGGATATAAAAGTCCTATATTACAAAGAGAACACTCTCTGTCCAAAATCTAAATGTTAGCTGATTCTTTTTAACAACACTTAATTTGTAGTTCATGCTATTTCAGTCTGTTTCCCAGTTCTGATGTAGAACTAGTTAGTGTCGTTTTAATTTCTTAGTTGCTTTGTGGAAATTGGTGTGGAAGCTGTTTTCCCTCGAACGAACACAAGACTGGAAATTTGCTCACCACTTGATGAATTTTGAAAGTGGCTTGGCTTCTGTGTATTTATGCTAACTTCCTTTTAGCTTGGGAGTCTGCAGTGCTTTTCCTTCACAAGTAACAGATGATCACATGATGAATTGGCATGTTCTCTCGCCACCATTTTCAGAAGCCCATAACTGCTTAATAAATCTACCAGTGGTTGGTTAGATTCTTCTTTCAAGCACATCCAAAGCTCTGGATGGAAGCTACATTTCTTCTACTCAAAGAGAAATAGAATACAGTAGTTTTAACTAGAGAATAAAGGATTCATTATTATGATGAGAATGCAGAAAAGTTTAAACATTCTGGAACTAGTTAACTGCTGACAGTTTAAGTAGCTCATGACCTTCTTGACTCCATATGTGTAAAATGTGTTTTACTACCTCATTTGACATTAAAGTGAATTAATAAAGATCTTCTTTATGAAGGAGTCAGTGAATTGTTCTTAAAATCCATTCAGATCTGGAGGCCCAGTTATGATTTCTTAGTAAATATAAAGAGATCATCCTGAATGTTCACAACTAAATATGCATTGTCACATCATATTGTGATAAAGCAAAGAATTGATTTATATGTTTTGAAAATCATTATGGAGCCTTGTGATGTCCCTGTCACTTCAGAATCCAGGTGATGAGATCATACGTTTCATTTGCACTTTCCACCTTAAAAAATACATTGAAAATCTACCAATGCACAAACACATCGGAAACTAGCTCATTAGAAACAAATAGACCATTTCCCCCTAACACGGAAGCTTTCTCTTGGTAAACGTGATATCATGTTAAATGTTTAGGTATATGGCTTGTTAACTTATTTCCCAAAGTGGTACAGGTGTAAAGCAACCGGCAGTAGGGCTCTTCTCAAAGTGTAAAAACTTTATTTAGGAATTTAATAGCAAAATGGTTGAATAAAAAAAAATTACATCTCTTTAAAGTGAGCAGTGAACTTGATTACTATCTTCTTGAAAACTGCAGCATTTGTGTTAAACTGTGTGCATGTATATGTGTGTAATATTGATTTGTTTAATAAATTTAATGTAGCAAAATGCTCTTGCACACCCTTACCTAAGTGTTCTTATATAAATGTTCTTATATAATTTTTTTAAAAATCCTGTATGTGCCTCTTAAATCATGGCAGCTAAACATTTGTTGTCAGAAATTGTTAATGCATGCTGATTCTCAAATTCCTAGGCTGTAGAGGGTCATGTGGTTTGTTGTCAAATTATGCTACCTATCTAAACTACTCTCCTCCCCAAAAAGTAACTATAGAACAAAAGAAAACATGTTGACCTCCAGTATATAATGTATTGTCCTTCTTCTCTTTTTTCATCTTTATTTTCACCTTCCTTTGAACTCTCTTAATGTTTGAAGACAGCTCAACAAGGTTGTCAGCAAAAGTAAATGACTGACAGGCACTCTGAATCTTCTGTTCCAAACTGAATGCCATTCTTTTTCCACCTTCATCTTCTGTACAACATGTCTCTTTTGTTTATTTTGACATCACTCTAAGCTTTGATTTCGTTCATGTTTTTGCATTTGATGGGTGTTGATGTGAGAACACCTCAAAGGTGACTTCACTTTGCAACCCAGTTATTTTAGTCTCAGTTTCTCCTTTCATTGATTTATCTAGATCCACATCTTCTCTATTGTAAAGTGGTTTGTAAATTAGATGGAGCTTTAAAGCCTTTTTCCTTTTCCCCAAAATTATAATTAAATAATTAGCAAACTTGGGTCTTTAGAGACTTGTTTACTCTGTTTGTTCCAGTGAATGCTTCCTCCTGCCTAAAGAAACAAAAGAAAGAAAACTGCTAGGGGAGGAGTGGTGATAAATGCATTCAATAGTCTAAGATACTTCACTTCTTTCTTTGTTTGTACCCTGATTTTCTAGCCCAAAAATGAGACATTCTAGGTAGCATACAAACCTAATTAAGACAATGAGAAATCATTGGAATAACACACAAAATAGATAAAATCAATCCAAATCCAACAAATTATACAGTTTGAGAGAAACCAGCAGGAAAATTATTCCGTTTGCAGACCAAAGGACTGACCAAAATAAAAAATGCTTTTAGGAGTAATAAATGCTTTTTAAAAAAATGGGTGGAATAATATTTCTAAAATAGTTCCAGTAATTATTTTACTGAGGACTCACCTATAAAAAAAGCTTTGACTATGAGTGTTGTGCTTTTACTATCTCTTTCTTATAAAGATAAACATTTATAGCATCTGACAAATGAAATGCAAGGACATAGAATTTTGGACAGATCATAACTTTTGGTTCACATATTCATGGGACATGTCAATCTCATTGCAGTTTCAGGAGCTTGCAGCTGCTAAAATCTTGAGGAATCACTGTGAGCCATAGTCCACTTCCTCAATCACCTTTTTCTCAAGAGACTAAGAGCAATTGTCTTAGTAGACAATGATCGCAGCTTGTCATGTTACAGACTGTTTCCTGTACTACATAATTAAAAAAATAAGCTAATACAACACATAACCAGAAAGTGACATTTGATGAGCATATATATTTGATGATTTGATACAGATATATATCTGTATTAGGGAGACGCAGTGTAGTCTAGACCATATTTACGGAAATAGTCCCACTGAGTTCAGGCTGCAATATCAGAAGTAAGATCCACTAAATTTAGAGGAACCTATTTCTGAGTAGACATAAAATGTCATTTAAAGTATCCATCAGTCTTCCATTATTTCTTGCTTGTTGTTTTGCAAATAAAAGGAGGACTTGAGTTGAAAATATTTGTGTGTTTTTTCAGCATATCTGTATATTGGAGTTTATGTTTTCAGAGAAAAGGGAATCTTCTTAATCCATAACAATGCTTCTGTAGCTGTATCTTACTCCCATTTACCGGTATATTAAAAGGTTTTGGTAGCTGAAGGTTTCTTACCTCTACACATTCTTTTTTGCTAACTGCATGTATATTTCATTCATCAGTTCATTTGCGGGGGGGGGGGGGGGGACACACTGAACAACTCAACAAAATCAGCAATCAGTGTGGCTTTTGTTGTATTTTTTTAATAAATTAAACCAGTTTTTAATCACTGTTTAATACACACAATTGACTTTTAGAAATTGCATTGATAATACAAAGATAGCAAAGAAATACGTTTCCCTTCTTTTAATTAGATCAAACCCATTTTATGAACCAAAATCAAGCCCTGCTTTAAATAATCAAGTTACTTCACTACAAGAAATGGAAAGGAAGATGAAAAGAAAAGCTCCTGAGCCACCCGTCCTCTCACCAAAGGCAGGAAAGGAAACAAGTGAGAACACGTCAGCTATTCAGGCGGTGAAAGAACTTTCCTCTTCTCCTAAGGTATGTAGTTACCATGTCACCAGTGTTTGCTAATGTTTGATTAAAAATTGACATCCCTCTTTTTTATATACACAGGCAGCCTATTCTATTAAATCATAGGAAATTTATTTGCATAACAACAGATTCCAAGCGCTTTGACATAGAATCATCTGAGGATGCACCAATCAGAATAATTACTTCTTGGTTAACACTTCCCCCTTCAATTCTAATCAAATACATGGGTTGCTTCTCCAGTCAGCAATAAATATGAGCTTAAAATGTTATTGAAGTTGTTCTTTTATTATCATGCATTTGCCTTCTCAGCTTGGTTTGAGGGAGGATTCTGTCCTAAATGGTTGCCTACTTTATTGACAGACCTGGCAGAACCTTCCCATGAAAGCTAGATAGATCAAACAGCACCATACGTTTTAGCACTTCAGCTGCAGTCCTGTGCATGGTAACCTGGGAGTAAGCTCAGCTCAACACATTACAGTTTACTTCAGAATAAATATACGTAGGATTGCATTGAGAAGACCCACTGCCACAAAAAAAGAAAAAAATTGCTTTTTAATGAATAAACAAACTATTCATTATGTGAGAAAGAAGGGCAGTGGAAGGAAGAAACCATTGGACACACAAAGCATGCTAAAATGGTCAGGAAACTTTAGCTGCGAGATATTAATAGTTGTGTGCCATCAAATCAATTCTGATTTAAGACTACCCTTCCCAGGGTTTTCTAGGTAGAGAATATTCAGAAGTGGTTTACCATTCCCTTCTTCTCAGGGGCATCCTGGAACTGTGCAGCTTGCCCAAGACCACACAGGCTGGCTATTCTAGGATAACTGGTAGAGATCTGAAGTCCTAGCTTCTGGCTTTACAGCCAGATACCTAAGACATTGAGCTATGCATCCAGCCAGAGCCAGCCACACATTTGAAGGCATGCGGTGCTTCAGTTTGTTTCCTTGGGTAAATTTAGTGGGTGTCAGGTGTGTGGTCAATAGTGGAAGAGCCCGTTCCTCAAAGAGATCTAAAGCAAACTCAAGCACGAATCACTGTTTTGAATTAATATGGGAAATAGAATGTATCTTACTGTGAACCTAATTTTACTCAGTGATTAAAAAAAACCTTGTGCTTTTTGCTGAGACAACTGGAGCAAATTGTATTAGGAAAAGACACCTATTTTGCTGTTGTTTGTATCATCCCTCAGATTATGACAAAGTAGCCTCCTGTGATATTTTAGAAAATGTGGTATTTTAGCAAATTGAAAGATTTGCCACTTATTTATGCAACATGTTATTAAACATTGCAAAAATAAGTGTAGTAGTATTTTAAGGAAGTTACTTAGATAAAATGACAACTCGAGAATAATTGTAACTAATGTTTCTTTCGAATACATTTCCAAGACCTAGGATTTTTCCCATAACCGCCCACTTGTAATTTTAATATGGAGATGCTTTTCATTTAATGCTGGAAAGAAAATCTTTCGGCATGTCCTCCAGCTCCCTTTTAAAAACTATAGCTGCCCTTAAGGGTCTTGTATTTTAGATATCATCATTCTGGTTAAGAGCTGAATGGAACTCCTTGTCATATCTGTCAAACCGCTGTTTAATTAGTCAGAGAGTCTGCTGATGAATCCCTGTCCCTCAAGGGCAGATCTTGCAATTTCCTCAGTTCTCCCGAGCAAGGAATAAAAGACTGATACCTCAAGTCTAATTTAGGGAGTGTTTACTAGTAGGACAAATAAGAGCAAAAAGGCACTAGACCGGTACTCCTAGTGCAGAATCACAAATCACATTGTCCTTTTTTAAATTGTTGAATAAGAGTACCTAATTTTAATTTTATTTGCTCTGGAGTATCTGTGATAAGACTGAAGGATATCACCTGGTTTCTAACTGAGATTAGAGGACTGAACAGTTTGGCCAAGACTTAAGATAAGGTATTGGCACTAAAAACTGGTCTTGGAAAAGACAACCTGTGACGATGTATGACAAGGATTTTTCTTCTTTTTATCTCCGTACTTGACAGAGAGTGTGCGTGCCCGCTGTTCAGTCACTCAGACTCTAGTTTGGGAAAGAATGGTATCCAATTAGAGATTCCCCCCCCCTTAATAAATAGTGCAAGGTGCCTAGCAACATCTCTCTTTCCCCCTGTGGGCCTTTGCCCTTCTGACCAGGGAAGTCACCCCCATCCTGCTGCCAGTGATGAAGATCTTGAATTTTTTCAGCATTATTCTTGGTGGATTTTATTGATTTTGGTTAAGACTATTTGTGTATAAACTAGAATTCTTGTGGAGAAGGGCTATTTATTTTATTTAACATGTTCTGTTCTGTATTTTTATTTTCTTATTGACACCTGATGTCAATAAGGAAATAACCTTGTTACATTCTGAGGAGATCTGCTGCCATCAGGTTGCTGGAGGCCATTTTGAACGTCATGTAGGCATAGATGGTTTGAACCGCAATAATGCAGGAGTAGAATGAGTCCTCCTGTTTATCATAGCCCCACTACCAAAATGTTTTTTCAGTTCAAAAAGACAGACATCTAATAATGAATAAGCAAATATCACAAAATAGGCTTCCTAAGTAGCAGAATAGGATATAATACTGCTACTTCACAGCTACATTGCTCAAGTAACTTCAGTTCTTGAAGCAAGGACACCATGTCACTCTGTTGTTAGCTCAGTGCTCTCTAACATATCAGTTTTAACACAGGTGAGGTCAGTTATTTTAGTTGAAAAATTGCTCAGTAAAAGGAGCTTCCCTAATTCGGTATAGAACAAAGACAGCTTTGATTGCCTTGGTGGACAAGCCTACACTGGAAATTGTACAGAGGAAATGTGTCCGTGTTGGATCTGCTTAGATCTCGTGACAGTTTTTTATTCCATTGACCGTGGTTCTGTTCTGCCCATGCTATTTTAAACACACACAAAACTAGAAGTTGGAGTTCAGTACTGGGAGTATGTGGATGCCACCCAACTATATTTGTGTGTTCCATCAAATTCCAAGAAAGCTGTTCTGGTTCTAAACCAGAGTCTGATGTCAATAATGGTCTGGAGGAGGATGAATGAATCAAAGTTTAATCCAGACAAGACGGAGGTGCTCTTGGTTAATTGAAAAGGAACTCAGAGATTTGGGGCTCCACCTGTGCTGGACAAGGTTACACTCTTCCCGAAAAGTCAGGTTTGCACCTTGGACTGATCTCTGAACCTAAATGTCCAGATTTCAGCGGCAGCCAGGAGAATTTTCACAGTTAATCTGCACCTGTTCCTGGAAATATCTGATCTGGTTATGGTGACACAATTTTTAAATTACATTCTGCTAAGTTTATTGTGACACACTCTATGTGGGAGTTTTAGAGGTGGTGGCCCATGTTAGTCTGTGCTGGCATATCAGCCAAAAACAAATTTAAATAGGAAATATAGAAGACAAAAACATTGTGGCATTCTATGTGGGGCTGTCTTTGAAAAGGATTCAGAAACCTCAGCTGGTCCAAAATGCTGCAGCTAGTCTGCTGACCATGGGAGGGACTATGTAACTGCAATATTACAACAGCTTCACTGACTGCCGGTCTGCTTCTGGACTAAATTCAGAATATGGGTTATGACTTTTTAAGCCTTGTACAGTTTAGACAGGCTACCTGAAGAACCATACCTCCAACCATACCTCCAACCATATCTCCTGTCAAGAAAATAAATTTGGGGCCTCACTGCCAACATGTCAAGAGGCATGTGGGACGCTGTATGTTTTACTACTTTTCAGCTGTGTTTTTCAAAAAGTATTTTTAAAGCTTATAAAATTAAGAATTGCATTAAGATTGTGTGTTTAATTGTTTCTAATGTTATAATGTTTTTAGTTATATTTGTCTTTAATTCTTTGTGAGCCGCCCTGGATCCCAGCACTAGGCAACAGGTTACATAGGGATGAAATAAATTAATAAAATAAGATAGCTATAAGATCCTGTGATCCCAGGATCACTTTCTCTCCACAGATTTGAAGATGTAGCTTGAGAATTCTGTCAGTTCATCTCACAGTTACTTGACAAATTATCTGAGAAAATGTGCAGTCCTTTTTTCACATGAATGCACACCATTTTGTTTTGTCTCTCCACAATCTGGGTTGCATCCACTGGTCTCCACTGATGAGTGAAACAGATTTCCCTTTCCCCTGCAGCCCCTTCTGTGCTTCCCACAGAGTTTAGTATATCATAATTGGGGGAAGTGCAGTGAGGAAGAGAAGGAGAGATTCCGCAAGTAGACTTGCTCTACTCTATTGCCCTTTGTTCCCACTTGAAGGCAGAGATTTGGTATAAAATGACATTTGAGCCATTGTTGAAATAATGTTAGAAAAACATTCCGAATAACACCCTGTATGCATATTACATCTTAAATAAAGAGGATCACACCAATTAAATAACTGGAGGATATTGGCTACAATCTGGTGTTTTGTTATGCTGGCAGAAGGCAAACAGCTTAACATTCACTTGATTTTAGCTGGCAATGAGTCCCTACCACCACTGAGAATCACAGTGGTGCCTTGTTTATTGTCTGCTAGAAGTGAGTTAATGTTTTGCTGCTTGCCTTCCACAAGCATAATAAAGCAACAGGATTTCAGCCATTCTGTTTCTGTCAATATCTGGGTATGCAGGTAAGCAGAATTTGTCTATTCAAATAATTGAATAGCACAATTTTCGAGTGTGTACTCATTAAAGTGTGCATTCCTCCAGGCTGTGGTGGTGTTGTTTAAATAGAATTGTATGCAATTAATATACAATTTTCTGTATGGATAATTGTTGATGTATACTACTCATTTTTAATATTTAGAAAGGTGTATCATAGCAACTGTGGATAAATAGACTAATGTCATCTCAAAGCAGATTATTGAATTTGAGATTATTAGCTAACACCATTTGGTATGTGTGCCAGATAAATCTTCTCACACTACTTTTGCAACACTACAATAGAGGTCACTACAGCTGCAGTCCTGTGCATGCTTTGAAAAATAGATTCCACTGAGTCTCATTTC